TCTTGATGGATACTTCCAGCAGGATAGCGTCCTGTCACAAAGCTCAAATCATCTCAAACTGGTTTCTTGAACATGACAATGAGTTAAAATACTCAAATGGCTTCCCCAGTCACCAGATCTCAGTCCACTACTAGAGCACCTTGGTGCAACGGGATATTCACATCATGGATGTGTAGCAGACAAATCTGCTTCACCTCATGATGCTATCAAGTTAATATGGACCAAAATCTCTGAGAAATGTTTCCAGCACCTTGTTGAATCTATGCCACAAAGAATTAAGGCAGTTCTGAAGGCAAAAGTGGGTCTGACCTGGTACTAGCAAGGCGTAAAGTGGCCGGTGCTTGTGTAGTTGTAAAATGTAATTCACTTACCACTCATTTTGCAATCCAGTTAGAATATTACACAAACAAATAGCTGTGAAACATAGACTTTGGTCTTATGAACAAATTCATTATCACCTCATACACTTTTTCTCTGTTGGTATCAGACCGCAGTAATGATGTCCATATGAATATTCTGAGTATTGTAAATCTGTGTGCGTGTGAATGCATGCATGGTATGTCTGGCCTCGTCTGCGCACATAAAGCGTTAAACCGCTCTCCTGAACAGAGAAAACAAACTCAAAGTGCAGTCTTTACAGCGTTTAGTCCACGCACACACTATTACAAAAGACGTTTGCTTACACGAAAGTCTAGACAAAATGTGTAAACCACAGATTACATCCATATCCAGGACCACCTGGACAAGTTATGTCCACGCTTGTACGTGTTGTGGTGGATTAATGTTTTTGTCTTTCAAATTGTATCTTGAAAGCTGAAAAAGTATGAAAAAGCTGAAAGCTTGAAAAAGTATACAATGAAAGCTGTGCTTTCATTGTATACTTTTATTAAAGTCTTTAAAATGATCTATTAAAAATGATTTAAGTTAGGTTAACATTCTGATGATAAATATTGTTAAACTGATATTTATTTTAATCTTATGACAGATAACCAATAAATGGTCAGTTTTACATTTATGTACCATTTTGCCTAAATAAAGCACTAAAAATTAATTGTGAATTTTGTAAAAGTGAATGCATCACACCTTTTAGAATGTACAGGATGAAAAATGTATATTCATTTTGAGATTTAATAAAATTTGAAAGTGTTATTAAATGATTTCTCCTTTTAGTGAGCATTAGATGGTGGCGGCAGCAACATCCCTTATTAAAATCTTTTGTTCCTCAAGTGAACAGCAATTCATTAACTACTTTTATTCTTAATTTCTAGCTCTCCATCTCCGTGATTATGAGGATATTATCCCTGCTGTGGAGATTTACTCTCTGCTAGCCATCTGCTCATCTGCTAATTGTGCGTTTGGTACGTGTTCACGTGCCTTTATTAAGCTGGAATCTCTGGAAACACTGACTCCAGATCAGAGGCAGCTTTATGAAGACCTGGCCCTGGAGATCTTCACCAAACACAGCCCTAGAGACACCCGGCAAAGCCAGCAAGACAGCCTCACTGACGGGTAAGCCAGGAACGCAATGACGAGATGTGCTGTAACCTCACAACCGCTGGAAACTCAGGATCCGCTTAACCGATAATTGAAGCCGATCCTTTGTTATGGCTTGTTGACGGAGATGTGCGGTCACAGTGACGCAAGTGTAAAATAGTGTGAGATGAGTGGCATAAGGCTCATCTTTTTTGAATGACTTATCGTATCACTGCAGTGTGCCGGATACATCAGCACAGTTCTCTCTAAGAACTGCAGTAAAACAGTGGGAACTATTTATGGGAATTACACTACTGTTTAAAAGTTTGGAATCCTTCATTTTTTTTACAATGTTTTTGAAAAAAAAAAGTCTCTTATGCTCATCATGGCTGCATTTTATTTGATTAAAATACAGTCAAAATATTTCTATTTAGAAATAATATTGCAATTAAAAAATATATATGTAATATATTTTAAATGTAATTTATTGCTGTGATGGTAAAGCTGAATTTTCAGCATAATTACTCTAGTCTTCAGTGTCAAATGATCCTTCAGAAATCATTCTAATATGCTAATTTGAACATTTCTTCTTGTCATCAATTTGATCAAAATATTTTTGTGGAAACAGATATTTTTTTGATAATTTTTTTTTTTTTTTTTTTGCAGAAATGTAGAAGTCTTTGCTGTCACTTTTGGTGATTTAATGCATCCTTGCTTTTTTCAAAAACAAAAAAAATCTACTGACCCCAAACTTTACTTGAGTAGTCTTTCTGTTCCCTCACTGAAGTTCTCTGTTACAAATACACATCACACATTTACAAGGTAAAATTATTCCATGAATTGACTGATTTCAATGCATTAGATTTGCTCACAAAGTTCTTCTGTTTCGACTTATTTTGGCCTAATGTGATGAGAATACAAGTAAAAAAGCCCATTCACTCCAAGGACGATAACGATAAAGATAATAGTTCCAAAGTCATTGTAAATATAAAAAAAATTGCAGTCCATACCACAACTATAAAGATAACAGCACAGAGAGAGAATATTGTTGGAATCGCTTTCAGAATTTTTTTTTTCCAGCTGATAAACGATAAAAGCATCAACAGCCAGAATCCATTCTGCTTTAAAGAGCTCAAGCATTTAAAGCGGCATAAAACGAAACTGCAGTGCGTGCTTAATAAACAGAACAATATCGTCCACTGGTGTGGATGCTAATGCCATTATAGTTTGTAGTTATCCTTATAGTGATCATTATTGGTGTGAAACAGCCATTAATCAGCACAAAACATAAATGTGAAGCAGTAAATTAAATGTTTCAATTATGTAAATAAAATCATGTAAAACTGCTTAAACAGGTTAGGGTGTGTGATGATGCATTCTGACTTGATGACTAAACCTCTCTCTCTTTTTGTCTTTTATTCTATTACTTCCTGTTCTTTTCCTCAGGCCGGAGGGCAAGTTGCCCACCTGTATAGTGACAGGAAGAATAATATCTGAGTACCAGTTCTGGATGTGCAGCGTGTGCAAACACTGTGCTTTGGAGCAAGAGGTCACACAACACAACTTCTGTCCTCTCTGTCACTCCCCAGTGGGATAAACTGTTCCTGTCGCCTTCCAAAGCTCAACTATTGCTCCATCAAATGTCTTTTTGATGTACTGTAGTAGGATACAAACTCTGCCATAGGGTTAGTAAGCTTAAAATATGTCATTTGGATGTTCGAACAAAGTAACATTTATATATGTCTTTTTCATATATTTATGTATGCAATTACATTATTTTCACTTTATATATAATATAATATACTTTTTTCACTGTAAAACATTCTTGCGTAAATCGTCACATTCAACTAAATTTGACAATTTATAAAAGAATGGGTTTTAATTCTGAAAGTTACGAATGAATCATCTGGCTAATATGATGTGGTATGTATGTGCGGTTTTTTTAGTAAAGAAATGAAAAAAATTCAACAGTGCCTCCTGGCAACAGGCAAATTGTTCTATTGTTTGATTAACTTTAAAATAAATCAAACTTTCATGTTCACTCGTGTCTGTTCTGATTCGAATTGAGAATTTAATATAAGGGCATCTGCATTTACATTCTTACAAGTAACAACTGAATTAGAGAGCTCCCTAATTGAATTAAAGAGCTCTGCAACTGAGTTGTTACTAGTAAGAATTGAATTAGAGCTCTCTAATATGGCAAGCCGTTTTAGCTTAAAGTGTAACCAACCTTACTCATTGTAATTTCATTTTTTGAGTTAGAAGTGCAATTTAAGCTAACGAGGCTTGCCATATAAAAACTGATTTAGAGAGCTCTCTAATTCGATTCCTACTAGTAAGAATGCAATTGTAGAGCTCTGTAATTAAATTAAAGAGCTCTGCAATTACATCCCTATTACTCCCTAATCATAATTGTTACTAGTTAGAATTGAATTGTAAAGCTCTCTAATTGAATTCTTAGTAGTAAAAATGAAATTATGATGAGTAAGGCTGGGTACAATTTAAGCTAAAACGGCTGGCCATGGAAGTCGACTAAAGGCCAATTTATACTTCTGCGTCGAGTTTCATGTTTCTGTTAATGTATTGTATTAAGTGTCCATTTCATTATAAAATTCAGATTTTTCATAAATAATTGAACATGCACATGTGTTTTAAGTTCTGTTAAATAGGGGTAGAGGTGGGGTCACATTTGAGCATTTAAAATTTAATTTTACTTGAAAGTAACGCAATAGTTACTTTCTTAAGCAACTAATTACTTTTTAAAATTTGTAACTGAGTTACTAATTTAGTTACTTTTTGGAAGAAGTAACTAGTAACTGTAACTAATTACTTTTTAAAAGTAACTTGACCAACACTGCATGTTTTAAAGGGCAACATTAAAGAGGCGTCTGCAAGTAGCCCACTCATGACGGCCCCTAGAGGGCATCATCTGTCAATTCTTCTGTGCACGTGCGACAGGTGCTGCTGTTGTGAGAGGGAGAACATTGCCTGCTTCTGAGGAAAGTCAACGTGTTGACGAATCACTAGCTGCTATGGTATAATGACTTGACACTCCTTAAACTAAAGGAGTGTTAAAGTTTTCTGCTCTTTTTGTGTTTGTGCATTTGTGTTGAAATTATTTTTAAATCTCATATTACACACCTGATGCTAATCAAAACAGGTAGATGGCGATTGATTCTTTCCCCACAAACTTTTCAGAATAGCTTTACTTTTCTTTTCTTTTAACGGACCTCTTTTGTCTTTCTCCTTAAACTCGAGGGATCGTTAATCTCAGTCTTTCATTAGTTTTCTAATCCTTTAGCTGCCCTTCACGGGTGGTCAGAGTATCTCTCTTTAGCCTTGTTTTCATCCCTCCGTACTCCCATTCTTTTTCACTCTATCACTGTCCCTCCCGTTTCACCTCTAATGCAAAAGGGGAAAAGCCGCACCGTGGAGCTTGAGAGGCGCGTCCTCAAACGCAAAGCGCAAGCGCGCTGCGCGCACTAGTTGCCACGGGCCAGTGACGCACGGACGCGCAGCTGCCCCGAGGCACCATGAGTGCATTAGTGGCACACTATGTGCCAACTGTCCCAGCCGACACAGTCCGCTGCGGGACATGGGGCAAATACTGCGTACGAGCACACACCGGACACGGCTTAACCAAGGAAGGCGCTGGAGGATGGCAATATCCACACCAAACGTCTTTGCAGTCCACTGATGCCATCAGAAAATTAAGAAAAGAGGTAAAATGCTATGTTTGCTTCAGTGTAGTTTGTGTTACGCAGTGTTGTTTTTAAACTTGGTGCTAGAGTTCGAAAGACTTCTACAACGTGCTGTCTTCAAGAAACTTCTTAACATTATCCATATATGTTGGTCAGAAATTTGGTGTTATTCCCAAATTTAACAGTTAAATGTTTGTAGGTATGTGTGAATGCTGTTTTTCTGTTGCAACCAAATATTCTTTACGTTGCATGTAGTACAATTTAAGATAATTACTATACACATGTGAGGTCCAAAAGTCTTGAAAATCTTTAGTTAATCAACTTGAAAATCTATAGTTCTATAGTATAAATCTAAAATAATAATAATTTAAAAAATATTGAAGTGTTTGCACTAGTCTATTTGTAATCATACCAGTATTTGTAAAAATGGTCAGGAGTTCTTGTGGAGCTCATGCAGCTAGAGTGATGCGGTCAATAAAGCAGAAGAGTGACAAACCAAATACTTTTTGAAAACCAAAAATTGTTTGAAAAGACTTTTTGAAAATAATGTCACTTGTCGCTAAAATGTGTTTGCTGCTGTTTTTCTAAAAAAAAAAAAAAAAAAAAAAAAAAATGTAAACTCTCTCAAAATAATGCTAATACAACCCTTTTTGGTCTCACATTTAAACCATATACTGTAAATGTTTAATAATCTCAAAATAAGAATTTCAATTTTACAAACCTTACAAAAGCACTGCTGTCGTGACAGTCAGGCATTCGCTGAATGTCCAGAATTTCTGATGTGATTTTGCTGAAGTGCCCAGCTGCACTGCTAGGAGAAAAAGTCAGTGTTCGTGTTAAAATGCTCATAATGATCACTGAGGATTTGTTTACGACACTGTACAGAATCGATATCCATTAGCAGCTATAAAGGCTGATTTGGGCCCCGGAATGCTTTTATCACATCAGAGTTTTTACAGTTAGAAGCAGTCTGTCTGTCTCTCTGCGTATCTGATTAAGTTTTTGTCTTGTCATACAGTTGGGTACAGTACAGTAAACTGTCAAATAGTACTGAAAAAATAAATTGTCAGGAATTTATGTTGTTTCAGTAGCAACAGGTTAACTTTTTCTTCTCAAAGTGCTAATCAGAAATTTATTTTCCTCCATCATATAGGAATGAAGCCATAGCTGATCCCTTTTAGCCTCTCCAAACCTGCTAAGCCCAACAGTCCCACTTACTCCTTCATGTACTGGCATCCATCATGCTGTATGGGCAGGTCCTGCACCACCGAGGGCCAGAGGAGAGCTTCATCAACCTCAATGTTGGCGGCTTTAAGCAGCAAGTGGAACGGGTGGTCCTCCAACGCTTCCCCCACACGCGGCTGGCCCGGTTGCTCTACTGCAGCTCAGAGGCCGCTATTCTCCAGCTTTGCGACGACTACGCAGCGGCCGACCGCGAATATTATTTCGATCGCAATCCATGCTTTTTCCGCTATGTGTTGAACTTCTACTATACTGGAAAGATCCACCTGATGGAACAATTGTGTGTGTTTAGTTTTAGCCAGGAGTTGGAATACTGGGGCATTAAGGAGCTCCACCTGGACACTTGCTGCAGCAACAGATTTCAAGAACAGAAAGAAGGCTCAGGAGATCACGACTGGGGAAATGACGATGACCCGCCGAACCAGCTGCAGGACAGCTTAGACTCATCCATGGAGGAGCTATCAGGATATGACAAGGACCTGGAAAAGTTCGAGGGCACCTGGTGCTCTGAGAACCGCAAAGAACTCTGGCTGCGACTGGAAAACCCTGGATACTCGTGTTCTGCCAAAATAATAGCGGTGTTTTCGCTGAGTGTGGTACTGATCAGTATTGCCGCCATGTGCGTTCATAGCATGCCCGAGTTCAACAAGAAGGACGATAATGAGAAAGAGGTGGAGGACCCAGTTTTGGCTGCATTCGAGACCTTTTGTGTCCTCTGGTTCTCCATCGAGTTCGTCCTACGATTAGCTGTTACGCCATGTTTGCGTAAATTCCTGTGCAATGCGCTAAACGTCATTGACTTTGCCTCTATTGTTCCGTTTTATGCCACGTTGGCCTTCGAAACCGTCGATGCTGAGGAAAGCGCGGAGCTTGAGAACGTGGGAAGGGTCGTGCAGATCCTGCGCCTCATGCGTATCTTTCGCATCCTCAAACTGGCGAGGCATTCGGTTGGGTTGCGTTCGCTCGGGGCGACTCTCCGTCACAGCTACAATGAGGTCGGACTCCTCATCCTCTTCCTCTCTGTGGGAATCTCCATTTTCTCAGTGCTAATCTATTTTGTGGAGAGAGAGGACGAGGAGTCGGAAATACAGACCATACCGGTGGGCTGGTGGTGGGCGACAATCAGCATGACCACGGTGGGATATGGCGACACGTATCCTGTCACGTTGGCTGGGAAACTCGTCGCCACCTTGTGCATCATCTGCGGCCTGCTTGTAGTCGCCCTTCCTATCTCCATCATATTCAACAAGTTCTCAAAGTACTATCAGAGACAGAAAGCCTTGGTGGAGTCTGACCAGCTCCAGTCAGAGGATGAAAAACAGCCACATCCCAGCATGCCTTTTCTTCATATAGGAGATCTATACAGCCAAAAGATTAATTCTATGGCACACAGCGTATCCTCCAGGAGTAGCGTAGGGAGCGAGGGAGACGCCACTGATGCTTCCAGTATTCCAGATGCTGAAATTGTCTGCCTTGCTTTAATGCCACAGGCCGACAAAGCGACATAAACGATAATATGCACAACCACAAATGAATGGAACGAGAAGAAACTTAGGGCGTTTTCACACCTATAGATCGTTTGTTTTGTTCAAAAAGTTCGGTATTTTACACTTAAAGCCCTGTTTTAAGATGGTTTCTGATAAAATAGAACGGTTAAAGGGATAGTTCACTTTGAAATTATTTTTTGATATGTTTTAGCTTACCTCAAGGGTGTCTTTGTTTCCACAGCATTTTCAATTTTGACATTTTTCAGTCAAACCGGTTTTGTCTGTCAGTCATATAATGCAGGTTTAAGGGGTCCACCTCAAAGAGCATGCTCAGAGAAGTCAAAATTAAACATGATTTAATGACTCTTGAATGCAAGTACACACTGATGGCCTTAGACACGAAACGAGCGGTTTGTGCGAGAAAACGAACAGTATTTATATCGTTTTTACCTCTTGTTAATAGCCGTCGAACTGATTTGAATCAGTTGTCCAACTTAACCGATCTGAACCGTCTCCAACATTACGCTGGAAGTGATCTCTCGCGCGTCTACGTCACGCAATGTTTACACGGAGATTTCGGGAGTTTTACCTTTTACTAAACCTTTAAATATATCGAAATCGTCTTCCATTTCGATTTCCTGTATATCTAAATATGTTTAGTGAAAGGTAAAACTCCCGAAATATCAGTGTAAACATTGCGTAATGTAGACACGCGAGAGAGATCACTTCCGGCGCAACATCTGGAGACGGTTCAGTTCGGTTCAGTTGGACTTCTGATTCAGATCAGTTCGACGGCTGTTAACAAGAGGTAAAAACTATATAAATACTGTTTGTTTTCTCACACAAACCGCTCGTTTCGTGTCTTAGGCCATCAGTGTGTACTTGCATTCACGAGTCATTAAATCATGTTTAATTTGGACTTCTCTGAGCATGCTCTTTGAGGTGGACCCCCTAAAACTGCATTATAGGACTGACAGACAACAACGGTTTGAGCAAAAAATGTCAAAATTGAAAATGCTGCAGAAACAAAGACATCTTGAATGCCCTTGAGGTAAGCTAAAACATATTAAAAATTTATTTCAAAGTGAACTATCCCTTTAAGATTGAAATCGGATATATGATGCTGGCCCAAGAATTTTCAGTTTCTGTGGTTGAACCACCCCCAAATCCACAATGGTTGCATAGGTGCACTGGAACAATCCTTCCTATTGATTTTTGTGTGAGCATATCAGTGAACCTCCCAGACCACTTGATGAGTTTAAAGTCTTCGTAAACTAAAGTTTAATGCATTTTAGGAAGGATTGTTCCTGTGCACTTATGCAAGCATTGTGGAGGTGGGGGCTACCACAGAAACCGAAAATTCTCGGCAGCAGCATGTGTCTAAATTTCAATCTTAACCGTTCCATTTCATTAGAAACGTTCTTAAAACAGGGCTTTAAGTGTAAAATACCGTATGTTTTCTTCTTGGTTTGGTTCGCTTTCACAAGGTAACCTTTAAAGGGTAACCTTTAAAGTCACATGTGAGGAAAACTGTCCTGTTTTTGGTCAGCATCTTCTCTGCATGTGATTTTTTTTTTTTTTTCAAAACCGGTTCAGCAGTAATACGAATATAGCCGTCATTGCCGCTGTTAAATTATATTCAACATTTTTATTAATACTGAAGCAAATTCAAACGCGCTCTCTCTCGAATCCCCCTGCGCATTCTAGAGGTTAACTGTGTCAAGACACAGTGACACAAGCAAACAGTATATGAATGTTATAATGCAACTGAGCAGGAATCAAGGGACAGCATTCTCACACAGAGAACCGCCATCACATAAAATTTTAAGATGAACAGGTGCTCTTTTGGTTTTCAACTGCAACAACTAATGTGCTCACTCACAGAATCAGGCCCTACTGCTATTTATATTGCACATTTCCTGGTATTATAATACCATTTGGTTCAGTGGTCCTGTTGGTTCGGATTGCTTTCACACCTCAAGCGAACCGTTTGCAATCGGGCCGAGACCACCTCGGTCAGGTCTCAAAGCAATAGTTTTGGTGCGATTGCTGTGTTCACAAATGCCTAAATGAACTGAACCAAGGGAGAAAACACACCAGGTTCTGAAACAAACACTCAGGTGTGAAAGCACCCTTACTCTGACAGATCTGCAGCACGTCGAGAAGAAATCTAAGACTCAAGGCTCTCGTTTCTAACTGGGTAACTCCTGGACCTTCTATCAACAGCACTTTTTCTCTTTAGTTCTCAGGGTGAAATCTTCTCAAGCTTTCCATTATTTATGGATCAGAACCTGCTATGGAAGCTATCTTAACAACAGCTCAGTGTTAACAGTAACATTGATGCTCTATATTCCCAATTAATAGCACTGATTGACAGGTGTTTTTTATCCTTTGGGCAAGCTGTTAATTTAATTAAACGTCTTTTTGCAGTGCCTGGGGGAAAAGAACTATGCTTAAATGTTTAATAGGCAGTGAGAGCATCTAAAATACTGGACTTCAGATGGCATGTTGGTGTACACCATTCTCCCTAATGTGTCTATCAGAGAGGGGAAGACAGAAAGCTTGCATGCATATTTAAACGAGTGAGGACATGCCACAAGAGAAAGTGGAGAAGAAAGCAGGAAGAGATGTTACAGTTGAATAAAGTGTTGATGTAAAGCATATTTGAGTCACTTTGCTTCATTCTGAAATCACTGCATGGATTGAAATACCTTAAAGGGATAGTTCACCAAAAAATGAAAATTGATATTATTTACACCGCCTCATTTCGTAGTACACTATTCTCCGAACACTATTTCTTTTTCATCATTATTCCTTTCATTTGAGAACCTTTGCAGAATTGATTTCAGTGTTTTTTTGAACGTATATAGAAATCTAACGAATTACACATTTTTACTGACTCAATAATTCTGAAAAGGCCTGCATGGAGATTCTTCAAAATATCTTTTGTCTTATTTTTTCCACAGAGGAAAAAGTCATGTGGCTTTGGGATGATGAGGCCGGGTGAGTAAATGATGCCGAAATCTGATGATCTCTCCTTTATTCTTTTTCAAGTGCTTCTTCACGGTCGGGTTTTCTCACTTTATATTTTGTCTATTGAGTAATGCATTATTCATTATTGCATTATCAATAATCCCTTATGAGCATCAAGTTCACCTATCTTTTGTCCTCTGCATGGAGGGAACACATTCTCTCTCTAATTTGCTGTCTCTCTCATTTTTTAGCTGACTTATGTCAGCTGTATTAGGAACAGGAAAAGAGGTCCAAATGTTAGGGCTGTCTGCCATGGGTGGATGTATTACTGCTGAAACGGCATCCGTTTGGCAAGTGGCTTTAACTTAGATAGATCGGCCTCTGTTTGAGGCGTGCCCATTGATCAATGTGTCACGCTTGTGTGCTCAAGTGTTTAAGGGCAGACCTGAATGCTTCATGACTTACACGAATGGTGCAGCTGACCCTTTTCAGCTTGAGCAAACTCAGAGAATTGGTGATGTTTCAAGGGGAAGTGGAACATGGCTATGAATAAAAGAAACGTCCTTTATTTCACTTCTCATACAAATGCTTCCATTGATAGTGATTGTACAATCAGAGTGCAAAAATGCTTGAGAGAAAGCTAGTTCTACCAGAAAGACTCAGTAGGAAAAAAAAATGAAACAAGCATACATTTATTAAAAGCTCAGCAAACAAGTATTGTGAAGTTCTTTGGCATAGTCTGTTGCTCGCAATCCGAGGGTACGAAGGCGGGGGTGCAGCCGACCCCCTGGGTGGTATGGAAAGGGACTATCCTGGTGGTGGTGTGGAGGATTGAGGTGAATGTTTCATTTATTTGTTGTTATATATAAGGAAACAGTTTAAAGAAATTATTTCCTTTCAGATATTGATTTTATGTAATGTATTGTGGTAGAGTGGCTTCATTCCCTCCTCTTTGCTAGAAATATGAAGCCACCACAGAGAGTCACATTTCTTGTTCAAAGCTTTGGTTTGGACAACCTGCACAAATCTGAGCATGTTGTTTTCAAAAATATATGCAATCACAGCACTGTCTTAATATGAGCTGGTGGTTTAGGATGTGGGTTTAACCCAGGGGAAAGCTAAATCCACAAACCAGTGAAGTTACCTTCACTGCATCTCTATAAGTAACAGCACTTAAGCCTGAGGTACTTTAGAAGTGAAGTGTTCAATTGAGCCTTCGCAGGGAGCTTGATTGACAGGTGATCTGACCAATCATACTTCGCCATCCGCCATTTTGTCCGACAAAGCAGTCCAGAGAGTTGGTAGATTAACGTGGGAGGATTTGAACTTGGAAAAACGGAATGTACTGACGCCTTTCCGTGGTTAAAACAACATTCCTTCTTATGTTCATTCATGTTTTATAAAGAAATAGAAGGAAGAGATGATCGGATCACAAGCAGCTTTAACTGGTGCTCTGAACTTTCTATTTATTAAAGAATAATAATAAATAGAAATATTAAAGACATTTTTAATTTATAATTGTTGAAAACAAGCTCAAAATGGACAATGACATGGTTTAATTATTTGTTATGTTCTTTCTTCTTCTTCAACGAATAAATGTGTTCATCTAGCAGTACCATTTTGGTCCTTAGGGTTAGTCATATTTTCATCAACAGAATGTTTTAATTTGATTTAAAATATTTTAATTGCCATCATAATGTACATTTTTCATCTCGTCTTTATTTAATCAGAAATCCTGTCATCAATAAACAAGCCCAAACACTTCTAAACACTTTCCTTAGCTTATATTGCAGCTTAATTGTCATAAACGATTGCATAACCGAATCAACTTTGTTTGACTCTCAACAGAGGCCACATGCAAACCAGAGAAGCTATCTAGCAGTGTGATGCACATGTAATAGTCAACTTATTTGTTTCTTTGGATGAGAAACCACCTTAATAACAATTTCTAGTTAAACTTTGTTTGAACAGAAGATTAGGCATGAGTGCATAAATCACCAGCCAAATGACAGTGTAACTGGTGAGTTTTGAAGCATGACATCTTCAAGCACCGAATAAAGTCCTGCCTCAAATAATTTGCCACCTCCTCTACATGGGTCAGTACACATCCCATTTACCATCATACTGTCTCTCTTTCCATTTCTCCCACTGTTTCTTTCTGTCTCCCACTTTCCCTTCTTTTCTCTCTTACCC